GCCATGGAGCCATGTCACTCATATTAGCCCTGCAATAATATCCAAACACCATGAGCCACAAACGGCATTAGTCACATTAGCTTACTAAATGTATTCACATACTGTAGCAATTCAGCAATACGTTAGAGAAATTTCCAAACTGGTTCATGCATTGTTAGTGTTCATGATTTTTAGTGCCATCTTTTTAGTATTACCGTTGTAATGTTCCAAATAATCATCAAGCATTCTGCCTCTAAAGCTATGAAATAGCCTATTGCTGATGTTAATTACCTGCCAGAGAGGCAGTTGGTACTTAAGTGGTATGTTTTGAACAAATTACAGTGGTTTTAGGCTTTGTCTAATGTTAGTAAGGTCAGGTTCAATCATGTACATAAATGTTATAGTAATTGAAATGTAGATATGTCAGTGTCAGAGCCGAAGTGTCAACAGGGTTTGATATTTCTTGGTCCATTAAACGCCACCACGTTTCATCCCTAAATTATGGGTTTAGATGTTGACAGATGATTTAATTGTACTCCCTGTATCTGATCATGGATGTGTGTAGTTGACAGAGCATAACAAGCTCCAGAGACCCCAGAATGTTAACGATTCCTGCCTTGGCTAGAGAGAGGTTTGCACAGACCTCGAGCCTGCCTGCCTGCCTGCCGTCTCAGCATGGCACGCTGGCATCCCGACCAACAGCACTTGGCACTGCCCACTCAGCGCAGTGCAGAGTGGCACTCTGTATAATGGAATCAGCAGGGGAGGCTTTTGATCTTAATTGCATGCCGACTGCAGACTCCATCCTTGTCTCCGCTGTTGTTTACTGCTGACTCCTCTCACTGACAGAGTTGATGCAAGAAGCTTCTTTCAGAGCCTTTCTTTAACCAAAAATGTGCCTTATTAAATAGGATGATACATATATATTGTTTCTAAATTATTCTATTGGTAACCTAGGTGATTATGATGACGATAGTGCTATAGACACAGCAATGTACTTGGACTTGTGATATTATGTGTGCTGTCTAAAATGCTAGATGCCCTGCTGCAGCCATTTGCGTGCCAATAGGCTGAAGACATTTCAGTATGATTTCTTTTATGGTTGCAGTTTTAATGTGTGCATTTCCTTTGGGTGTCTGTGGCGTGTGCTTAGTAGGACTTTGGTGGCTAATTCAAAAGGCCAAAATGAATAAATGTAAAACAGTGGCCAATGTGATTTGGGTTTCCCTTGAAATTGTCTGGCATTCCTAAATTAGTCTGAAATTAAAAAGGTATCCTTATGTAGATTGAATATAGCGCAAAAATTGTTCCAATGGTGTTCATTTTTTTTGCCCTGTGTTTCTAAGCTATTCCACAGTGTGTACGATAAATGACTATCTATACTCGACAAATGACCTTTCTTACTGCTGTGCAGTTATTATTTTTATTTCTTGTTTCCTATACCATATAAATCTTTGTAAAACATGTTGAAATACTGTATTCTAACTGTGTAATCCTATGCATTGAGTCCTGGGACAAAAAAACAAAAGAGAAAAAAAACAGTTTGTGCAGTTGTCGAGACTTTTTTCCATTTTGAAACTTGTGAATGTGCTGTAATGATAAAAGAAACTGAGAGAGACTTTTAGTACAGGGCCATTAATGGAAGCCAATGATTTCCTCCCCATCCAAGGCAGCTCAGAAGATTCTCGATCTTGTACCCGATCTGGTTGTACTGGATGAACTTAATTTTACAAAGTTGTGCGTGGACGAAGCGGTTACCCACAGGTTTCATCATACACTCCTCCGTGAATAAACTCAGAGACATATATGCCCTTCATATCTGCTGTGTTTCTTTCACTTTTAGAACATTGATTTGCTTCAGTTGAACACTCACCTCCCATGCATATTGCATGAGTTACTGTCACCTTGGGTGATAGCGTAACCACTTGCCACAGGTAGTCAATTTCTTGTTGAAGTGAACTGAATCTTTTGCTGTAAGTCTTTGGTCTTTAAACAGCTCATCACATTACCCTTAGATTCACTGAAGAGCTTACACACAACCAAGAGTAATGGGTGGATTTATGAAAATTATGCTTTTCAAACAAACCAATCACTTTATGAGGACCAAGTGCTTGAAAATGACAGTTTTCTTCAGATATTTGTACACATTATGATGACCCCCAAATGACTTTCTTGATAGCATCAGTCCTCATGTGCGGCATACCCTATGATTGCTGATGCTTTTTACCCAAATGTCACATCAGGTTCCTGTCAGAATACAGACTAGAAGCCTAAGATCTGACTTCATGAAATAAGCTGATAATGTAAATAGCCGCACAGCATATCTGTCATCGGCAGTGAAGGTTGAAAAATTGCTGCGAAAACATTAATTAAGTACTGACAGCTGAGAATGAAATTGGAAAAAAGAAAGATGAAAGGCAAAATTGCCTCATCTTACTGCTTAACAAACCCAGACGCAAGGGTGGGATATCAAAGACAGACCAGAGGCCTGTGCAGGCCATCTTCTAACTGAGCAGATCATTGATGCAGCAACAGATAGAGCAACTTCAAGGGCTGCTGCCAAATCAGGAGTGATTACACTTGATTATCGCAAGTGCTGCATCTTGTACACTGTCCTTGATCACTGGTGGAAAATCAAAGGCAATACTGTACTTTTATTTTTTAAGACATGCAGCTTACATCATTTTGGGAGTCAAGAGTATTTGCTGTGCACTTTCTAAATAACCGTGCCCCCCAATGTCTAGGAATCAATGATATAGCACAGTAAAATAATTATTTAAAGTCAGCCTCTTTGGAGGGTTTCTTACAAGAAATTGGGTTAAAATCTGCATGCTGCTGGCTTCTGTTCTCCTGCTTGGGATGCTTCATACACAGCAGCCAGCCTCTCCTTCAGCAGGAGATGGTTGTGTTTACCAGCAGGTTGCGTTTCACTTCCACGTTTCAAACCTTCTAATGAGATTTGGCTTTGATTTCTTCTGCCTTTGGGGAAGAGGAGGAGGAGAACTTGGTGGAAATAAAAACAATGATGGTGTGGTGTCATTTTAAACAGTTGTTGGGATGAATAATTTAAAACCTAACAACTGATTCTAGGACTTGCTATAAGCTCAGTGATCACCGGAGAGCAAATTAAAATATCTTATTAGGGTAGCTTGCATTTTTACAGATTTAGAACTACATAATTTTTCGAGTGGTTTGAATTTAAAGTTCTTTAAGAGTGACCCAGACGCAGACATTTAAATCAGCTGCAGTCTCTTTGCATGTAACAGCTAAGTTTAATGGGCTGGGAGAAGAGAGAACCGACCGACTTATTTAAAGAAAACTGTTCTCCAGGAGATGCAGAGTTACAAGCTACAAACCCCAAATATTTAAATGATAGTAAATCCTGTCTGTGTATAGTAATTATAGTGCTTTGGAAGACAATATATCTGTGCACTTTGGTTACAGCTATAGTAACTTGCAGTACAATAAAAATGGTCTCCACTATTAATCTGCTGTCTGTTTCCTTTAGTTTACTTATTTATTTGGTAATTTATTTAAATAGGTAGTATCACTGAGATAAAACTTTTTTTAAGGGACCTACGCACAAAAATAAACATGTACAGTGTGAACATAGACAAACACACATATATTTACCACATATGGTGTACATACACAGTATACAATTTGCTGGTATTGGTTCCACATTAAAGAAAACAATTACAATTACCATTCAAAGTGCTCAGGTGTACCTATTGGTTTTAAATCAGATCAAATAAGAGTGTTTCTGTAACTCAGTTCCAAGTTCATTTTGAACATGCAGTATAGCTTAAGTTAAATGGTCCTATGTAATAAACTAGTCATATACTGTGTTTAGTTATTTAAATGTGCACTTGTACCAGTGTGATCATACTCTCCATAACAACTGTAGTAACCTCAAAAGAAATGGTGCTTGGAGATTTGCTGAGGTAAAAATATCACACATCCAGAGAAGGTCCCCTACTCCAAACATGAATATGTATTAAAGAGCAGCAACTTGTATTTATAATAAAATGTTATTAAGGTTTACAGTTTATTGGGCTATTAAATGTATAATTTAAGGATAGGTTCATATTTGTTTTCAGTCTGCCTTAAAACAATAATCACTTACATTAAAGGTACATTAAAAGAGTAATTGTTTTCTGCAATGATTCTTCTTGTCCATACTGGCCTGAAGAGATCTCTTCTTAACGCAGTTCCAGAGTGAGAGATAGAGGACAATATCCACTCAGATTTAAAACACTCTCCTTTGATTTGACTGACTTAGACTTCATTAAATCCCTTATTTTAGCTAAGGCTAAACTTTGGAATTTTTGCAAATACAAAAACCCCATTAGCCTACTGATTTGCGCTAGTAAGGGACAGCCAGTATGGACAGGAGGAGCATAGGTCTATAGGGAAAATGTTGACCTTTCCTGAGGTGATGAGTCAAACCAGAGTAATTTTAGGCGATGCACATCTGGAGATGGAGTTCTGGTCATTCCTGTCTGCTGCTGCATGATGACCAACTACAGGTATTTAATCAGTGGTTTGTATTGTGTCTATCTTGTGTAAGTTTCTATATTACAAGCAATATAACTGTTTCTCCATGCTCTTCTGCTGCATTCAAGTCCATGGGATTGCAATGAATTAAGAGCAAGTTAAAGTAATTCATCCATGTTAAATGAGTGCCATAGTTGTGTATTTTCGGTTGTTTTGTTGATTGTTGTATTTTATTTAATTTGAAATCAATGTACAATTTCCTATCCGGAATGTACAGTGTTTGCTCAATGACGTCTGCAAAAACTGGCACAAACAGTAGGACGCTGGTATTTACATTTTTCCCGTATTACCTGAACGCAGCAAAGCGCGATGGCAAATGACAGTTGTACCATCCTATGATTGACAAACGTCAACAACCAATCAGCGAAGCCTCTGGAACATCCTTAGCCAATCACCGGAGGCTCTATATTCTCTTGTCCAGTCATATTCAAAGGGGCTGATTCTAATTTTTGTGGTATCCCCGCGGCAGATAGATGATGGAAGATGAATAGAGCGACTAGCTAGCGACTAGCCAGCGACAATAACATCACAGCATAGTAACTGGCAACAATAAGCTGCAACAAGAAACCACTGATTAATAAACGCAGTTCGGAGCTGTTTAGAGGACCCACCTTCTGCATATTTGCCATATGAGCTAAGCAGGACATCCAGTTGGTACTGTGGGCGTGCTAATAACAAACCTTAGCATGCACGGGAAGGAGTCCCTTTGGGTCTATGCAAGATTGAAACTGTCTGAATCAACGGAAAACACACCATTTCGAGAGGGTAAATGATTCAAGAAGTATCGTTGTAGTTTGGGCTTGCAGTTTGATATACAGTGCGACTTTCTAACGTAGCTGAATGCTTAGCTGGCCACCGTTAGCTGGTGGTGGTGCAGTATATTTACTGTCTAGTAAACTAGTCGTAGAAAGTATTCTGTAGTCTGTGGTAGACATTTTGCTTTGACTGAGCATATCTGGGTATTGTCTAAAACATATCGTTGTTATCATGTGATATACTGGCAGACGTGCACCGTGTATTCCAGTTATTATTTTATTGTTAACCTAAACCTCATGTTGTTTCACTCCATACAGGCTGAGGCAACAGTGCCACCATGTACTCGAGCCACAACAACCACATGAAGCCCAGCAGCAGCAGCAGCAGCATCACTGAGCTGCTGTCCGCCCTGTGTGACTCCAGCCTGACTGGGGTATCATGGAAACGCCGTGCCCTGGGAGGAGTCTCAAGAGAAGGTTTCCGCAGAGCTCTCAAGAAGTGTGCCTATGGTGCCCTGCTGTCTAAGCTATTCCAAGATGGCACCAAAGGGTCTGCCGCAGGGCCGAGCGCCACAGCTAATACACCACCCAGAAATAAAGTCCTGATGATATGTTTTGACTTGCGGGTGGCAGGGTGCCGAGAGGAGGCAGAGAGGTTGGAGGAGCAGCTGGGGAGGCTGCCCGAGGGAGCATCCTCTGGCCTGGAGGAGGTAGACGCAGTCCTCGAGCTCCTGGTGCACTTGGCGGGTTCGGCTCCTCCTCCCCCTACCTCTTTCAGCAGGGACTACATGAGACTAGAGAGGCCCGTGTTGCGGAGACCTCAACCCTGGGGCTACCAGAGTGAGGAGCTGCAGAGGCTGGAGGCCCGGGCGTGGGGTCTAGTGTGTGGGGAGGAATGGGGGACTTTGGAGAGTTTGTGTGGAACTCAGAGGTTGATGGATGCCCCTCCAGGCACAGGACTGCTGGCTCTGAGAACTAAATTGGAAGCGGAAGAAAGATTTGAGCGGGAGACCAGGTTATCGCTGTTTGGAGCACTGCAGCACACACGCACCTCAGACATAGACATAAGACTGGACCTGCCTCCCGTTCCCAGTAATATTGATGTAACTGGGCTGACTATAAGGGTATGAGACTCATCTAAGCTAATACCTGTTTAGTTTGAGTTGTTTTGTCATATGGCCAGGTCAGTCCTGTCCGTTTCATGCTGGTTGGTTCCTATTTGCACAAGTGCTCGATTAAAGTTTAAACACCAGTGTTGTGCAACAGTTTCACCAGGCTTAATTGTTGTTTGTGCAGGTCCCTTCCTGTTTAGATCAGTCTGAGGATGAGGGCTTCCAGTCAGCTTCCAACCTGACCCCAGACTCTCAGTCCGAGCCCAGCCCCATTCCAGACGTTGATATATGGGAGGCTCTCCGCACATTTGAGCCAGGAAGACGCCGCTGCTGGGAGTCTGTTGGCTGGTAGGTTGCATTGCTGTTGAAAGTTTGATCAATAAGCATGTCCGATACTTTCCAGAGAAAGTTTTAGAGAGTTACAGAACAAAATTAGTTAACATGGTAGTAGGTAGTGGTAGGGGTTGCAACTACCAATTATTTTCATGATTTATTAATCAGTCAATTATTTTGAAAGGACCAGTCTGTAGGATTTAGTGGTGACATTGCAGATTGCAACCATTTGACAACAGCTCAGCCCCTTTTAAGAGCTGAACCAGTGGATATTCTGCATTTTTGCTTGATAAATGAGTTGTGATTAATAAATTGTATAGTTGGAGAGAAAATCTCTGTTGATTGCCTAGTAAATACGGTATACTATGACATAATATATAAGGCAAATGAAGCAAATCCAAAGAAGCAGTTTAGTGAGTAGGAGAACAAAGAGGCCAATGTATTAGAGAGCTCCACCTATAGATGGTTATGTTTTTAGTTTCACTCTCCCTCTCTGGAGCACAACATCAATTTTGACTTAATTTCTCCTACCAGCCCACCGGGAAAACGAGAGTCACTCTATCTAACAGAGAGAGGCAGGGAGGCCTTTGACCAACTCTATCGTCTCTGGGAGGGGGAGATGAGGGTGGTCAGCACAAGTACACCCTCCCCTCTCCTCCCACTGCCCCTGGACTCTCAGAAACAACTGGTGTCTGACCTCCTCAACGTCTTGATAGGAGTGACGTCCACGACCTTCCCTCTCAACCAGGTGCATTTCATTATTTTTATTTATCTGTCTCTTTAATGCAGTGAAATGCAATTGATCTGTTTTATGGGTCTGTCACACTGACAGTGAATATAGCGATAAAAGCACTTTGACAGCAAACAATTACGAATAAACACAGAGATGAGAATTAGAGATCGATGTTTGGTAAAAACAAACCCAATGGACTTATAAAGGCATATTGCAGCAAAATTACAAAAAGAAGAAAAACTAAAAAAAGTGCCAATGTCAAACACCCACTCAAGTCAGTCGCCTGACAAGGCACATTACGTGAAAATAAATGGAATTATTCTGAAAATGCAGAAAATAAAACCTCAGGATAGCTCTTCTGTTGCTTTATTGTTTTCAATTCCAAGTTTTTATATCTCCAGAAGATAAGTTATTTACAACATAAAGTGAATCCTCTCTTGTTTATTCCCATAGCCCCTTATATTCTCTCTCCCTAGCAGATTTTCATATTAACATGTGTTCTAGTACAAGAGCTGGACACAATATCATGAACACTTGTAGAATCGAATGTAATCTAGTTTAATAATCCTGCATCAGATTAAACTTCTGCAAAGCTTATAATGTTAAAAGTTTTGCTGTGACTGTCAGAGATGTGTTTATTAAACATATAAGGTAATCTTTGAGGCTGTGGTTTGTGGTAGTGTTGTGCTAGATTGCAAAATATCATCTGTGTTATTTTTGTTCCCCCAGAAGAGTCCTGTCTAGGAACTTTGTATCCAGTTCTCATAAAACAACCACGAGAAGGACAACATAACAAACACCTGATTATGTATTGCGGTCTAATATAATAACCCCACAAACCTTCGGAAATCACCATGGAGGTGACTCCGGTTGCCTCAACAAAAATTCAATATCATAAGCTTCACAAAGACGGTCCTGCTGCAGGGCTATTTTATTGGACGTTATTAGACTGTACAGTTATTCATTGTATTTTCTCCACTATCTGTAAATATGTAATCACCTTCCCAGAGTGTTCAGTTTGACGTCAGACCTGGTGTGTGCGTGTCGGGAGCATCTCCAGAGAGTGTGTCTCGTCTCTTGGGGGAGCTGGCCCAGTACGGCACCTACTACTTGAGGCTGAGCCGCTTTTCTCTGCAGAGTGCTGACAAAAAAGGACTAGTGTTTCAGGTATGTTTACATAATTACTACTGTTGAGACTGCACATTTTACCCCCTCTCTTCTCCACTCATATTATTCTTGTTGTCACCATTGTTGTTGTTACTAATTCAATTCGAAATACTTTATTCGTTGCTCGCTGTGAGACTGGTGAGTTTGCAAATAAATAAACAAACAATTCACACACACACATATAAACAATCTAAAAGTACAAATATGAGAATGTAAGAATATAGTTTTACTTCACTGTGGAAACCTGGAATAATATCCGACAGCACAAAAGCAAGTCAAAATGGCACAATATGTCAATCTATACACAAGGTGAAGTGACCATTTCAGTGGTTTCCATCAGCATAGATAAAGAAATTTAAAAAATGTTGTGTTTCTCTCTAAGGCTTTTACAGGTGGTCTGCGGAAGTATCTGCATTACTACAGGGCTTGTGTTCTCAGTACTCCACCCACCCTCAGCCTGTTGACTATTTGCTTCCTCTTCCGCAAAGTCGGGCGCCAACTGAGGTGAAGTCAGACCCTTTCTTTTATGCTGATGTCTTTTTTTCACACTTTTGAACTTCAGCCTCACCCGGCCGACCCGACTGAAAGGACCTTGATGCAAATATCATCAGATCAAAAAAATCTCCTCTTTCTTTTAATCTAAGGTACCTGTCAGAACTGTGCTGTGTAGATGGACCTTTGGGTGCAGGCCAGGCCACCTTCCCTGTGGTGAGTGCTCTTTTATCTGCAAACTGCAATATGTCATCCATCATGGCTGTGTTTAGCCTATCAGATGGGATGTCAGCTCAGTGCCATGTGGCTCTCCTCAGGGCGTTAAACTGCTGTCCTACCTGTACAATGAAGCACAGAATAACTGCAGCAACGAGAACTATCCAGTCTTGCTGTCGCTGCTGAAGAGCAGCTGTGAACCTTATACGCGGTCAGTCACCAGCATGTCTTCAAAAGAAAATAATATAACCCAAGGACATGACTTTACTTCATTGATATGCAGAACTTGCTCTATTGAATCTGACTGTTTACTGTGCTTCACTTAGGTTTGTGTCTGACTGGGTATACAGCGGCGTCTTTCGAGATGTTTATGGTGAATTCATGATCCAGGTCAATGAGGAGTATCTCAGTTTCAGAGGTGAGATCACACACACACACACACGCCCACACCTACACACTTACACACACGCACACACACACACACAAAGTCAGCAGGTTCTGAAAATGAAAAGCCTGGCGGACCGATTGTCTAGCAGAAAAAATAAATGTCATTACTGCTTTTATTGCCTAGTTGGATTTGTCCTTGTTTCTATAAAGGATGTCATGAAGTTATTGGATGATAATCAGTGGGAAACAGAAACAGCCACCCCAGCTGTAGGGACCAAAGCCATCTCTCGCTCAGTAAACCACAGGGATAAACACAAATAGATTATGTTCCTTCTCTTCAGTTGGTACAACACACTGACTAGAACAAAACATTTTCTGAAATAAATGTTCTTTCTTCGATTTTCTTTTCTCCTGTATTGCCCTTGATAAATATGGACTAGTTGGATTAATTTGTTTTGTCCAATTAATGACGTTCTTTCTTTAAGGATAGCAGAGGACTAGTGTTAAGACTGTAGCAGATGATCCTTGCAGGGCAAATAAATACAGACCCATCTGTACTCTACAGGAACTGGCTGACTGTCACATTCAATAGATTTTTGATATTCACTGTTTGATTTTAAGACACATTTACTTGTTACAGCTCATAGTGACAGATACAGTCAGGGCTTAAACTAACAATCATTGTTATTATCAATAAAACAGCTGATCATTTTCTTGATTTACATTATTACATATGTATATTATACATTACATTTAAGACCAGGAAGAGCAGTTGAATTGAATTCTCACATTTATGATCCTGGAAGCAAAGATTTTTTGTGCTTGAAAAGTGATTAAACTGTTAGCAAAATAGCTTTGAAAAATCAGCTAATTGACTAATCATTGTAGCTGTAGTTACAATAATAGAACTGTATTGTTTAAACAGTGACTCGTAGGAATAAAATCCATTTTTTAGATTTAGTATTTTGGATTTTTCAGAAATGAAGAAAACACAATATCTACATTAGGGTAGAGCTGAAATGAGATGAATTGATAAGCATTAGGAAATGTAACCTTGGGTTCTTGGAATTTGTGAACATTTTCAGAATTTTCTTTTACTAATTGGCAGATTAATCGATAATGAAAATAATTGTAAGTTGCAACCCTACATTTGGGAATTATTCATATGTAAAGAATAATATTGATGCCATTCTATTCCTCAAACAAGTACACACTGTAATTGCTTCGTTTTGACAGCACTCCATAAATATGGTTGTATAATAATCATTATACCCTGTCCAAATATTGTATGTCATGCAACACCCCATTCAAGGTCAGACTATCACCTCGGCTTTGTCTGGCTAAGAGGTTCATTTGCTCATCGGCTACACCTCATCAACTTCTGCAGTGAACCTCTGCTCTTCTCGCTCCTGCTTTTTGGAGGACACACAAATGTCATTGTTCTCCTCGTAGTCCGTCGGCCAGGGAAGCAATCAGCAGCTAAGCTTTCTTGGCAAGCCGCAGGCTTTCTGTAAAGAGCTCTGGAAGCTCAGTGCATTCATGTTCTCTTATGCTTTTTGCTTAGGATCACTGAGCTAAGCGCTAACAATTTCCAAGTGTTAATTCAAGCGGCCAGAGTTTTGCCATGCCCCGTAAGTCATACTAATAAGGAAAAGTTTTAGGCCAAGTGCAGGCTGAGTATTACTCCACCACTATTGCTTTTTATACTTGTGTTGTTAGTGTCATGTACTGTTATCCAAGGCATAATTGACCTGTAAAACTACTTGGTCTGAATTATAACAGCGTGTGATAAGTGTCTTTGAATTTCTGCAGACAAACACTTCTGGGTCCAAGGCTACACTCTGATCTCAAAGGATGTGGAGGATTGTGTGCCCCTCTTCCTGAGACACATTGCAAATGACGTGTACGTGTGTGGAAAGACCATCAACCTCCTCAAGATCTGCTGTCCACAGGTTCGTTTTGCACATTTGACACGTTCATATATGCAGACGGGGGAGTGTATGCAGATGAACGTTGTGTAACGATACCTGATATATGAAGCCTAAATTATATTCTTAATTTATACAGTACGAAGTCACTGTTGTATGCGGTAAATAAATTAGGCATATAGAACGTTAATCCTTAAGTTTACACTACTGTAGAGATTGGCACAGATTGGTAGCATCATCCACAAAATCCACTCTGCAATTATCCACCTGCCACAATAATGATTGTACCCATTTGGAAATCCATACTGCCCAAAGGGGATGGGACAAATAATCAATACTGCGACATAAAGGGACACAGGCTCTTGCAAAAGGTCATCGATACACACGCATTAGTATTGGGATGAATTCTCTTGTGGTACTTACGCAGAAGTGTGTTCATCGTTCATTGCAGACGTTTGAATTTTGGACTGTTCTGCTCTCTGTGACTGCAGACTTTTGCCAGTTAGAGTCCTTTTTGGGGGNNGGGGGGGGGGGGGGGGGGGGAGACTAACCATTTTAGATGTACATTTCCTATAGTGCTGTTGTGATTTTGTCACATTTGAGAAGCAGAAACAGTCGAATGTCTGGCATTCTACTATAAAAACAATCTATAACTATTAATTGATTGATTGGTTGGTTGAAATTGTTGCCCTTAAATTTTCAGTTGACTAATCGATTAATCAACTAATCTAGTCGATATAGTCTTGCAATATATTGCATATTTTAGAATTGCCTACATGTTGATGCCACTGGTTTTCTGCACTAAATATTATCCATGTATCATTACAAGTTACCATGGGATTCCCCGCTACTTCCTGCAAAGCATCTGTATAAAACCCTAAAATTAAGACTCGTCTCTGTATATGAACGGACCCCTCACTTGGAATGATGACAGTAGCTAGTAGCATGCCAGACAAATGGAAACTATCAGTGAGGCTTTGAACTTTCTATGTAATCTAATTGTATTTAATGTCCTCACCTCTCTGTGACTCACCTGCTGATTCACCAGCACATAATGTTTTTTATGGCTTGACCTACCTGACCTAAACCACAGGGCACATGCTCTTGACTAATTGGCATTCTGTAACTACAGTGTTTCTTTGTATGCTAATTTACACCAGTGTTAGCTCTGTTATTCCAGGACAAACTGCAGGGTGGCTATGAACACATGTGAAATTATGTATTTAAAAAAGGTGAAAGAATCATTAAAATGTGCTGACTAATGACTAGTTATCCAGTTGGTTTGATGTGGCATATTAATACGGGAAAAAAGTGGCTAATGTTTTAAATTAAACAACCACTACAATACTGGGTTACTGTGTGGGTTTGTTTTCCAGGTGTAGTTTTAAAAATGTGTTAGTTCTTCTGGCTAAATGTGTGACAGACTGCAAGGCAAATTGCTTTCTCCTACTGCGGATAGTATATGTTTGTTGTGAAATGTACTAGAGTTGTAAAAAATGTTTATTCCAGCTGCTTCACTGTAAGGATTTGCTGCTTTTTTGTTTTATGTGATGGTATAGACATTTGTCATTCCTTCCTGAGGTTTAAATAGACCAGTCAATTAATCAGTTGATAATGAGCAAATTAATCAACAGTAAAAATAATTTCTAAGGCAATTGGAGAACAAAGGAGGTTTGGAGGACACTGATTAATTCACAGCCTTTAATCTTGCAAACAGACTAATGTTTTGACACTACAGTTCTAGAGTCTAGAGTCTTGAGTCAAAATGGTCAACCACATATATGTTCAACCAAGAGCAGGTGTACAACTGTCATTGGATGATTGGCAGGATAAGAAATCCGAAGGTGGGAATTGCTTAAACCAGTGTTCCACACCCATACATCATGTCAACCATGTAAAAATAATTGTGATTTGCAGCCCTAAAAGGAAATTTGGGGTCTCTGATATGAAAACACATCATGTCACCACATTTAGTCACTACCAGCATAAACACTTAAATGTCCAGTGTGTAACATTCAGGAGGATCTATTGGCAGAAATGGAATATAATATTCATAGGTATGTTTTCATGAGTTAGGAATATAGGAATCGTGTTTTCAGAACCGCCATGTTTGTACAGTAGCTCAGAATGGACAAACCGAACACTGGCTGTAGATAGGCCCATTTGCCACCATAGTTTCTCCTTCACCTCACAGCCCGTTCTCATTCCCTGGTCGTCAAATACAAACGCGAACTGTGTTTTAGTTAGTAGTAATCTGCAACTTCACTGCTAGACGCCATTATCCATACACACTGGTACTTTAAAACAACAAGCCTCCTTCATAGTGCTAACTTCCTGTTAACTCTATGTCCACAGCACTACATCTGCTGGTCAGAGCTGCCGGTGCCTCGCATTGCTGTCACCTTCTCCCTCCAGGAGGTGGAGGAAATTGAGAGGGACTGTGCTGTGTACCGCGGACGTCTGGAGACGGTTGCGAAGCACAGTGCCCTCAGCAGGGAGGAACAAGTACTGAGACACATGCATATTGTTCCCATGCAGCATGTAGCATCTGAACTGTGATGTATTTCTGAGTTTTTATTAATATTGCTTCTCGTCAGTTATATCTGACAAAGCGTCAAATTAACATAAAGAAAGATATGTGGTGTTTTACATGCAGTGAATTTTAGTAGACATGGCAGTCAACATGGTGTATTACCTTAATAAAGACACCATTATGTCTCTGCTAGCTGCCTCTAATAGATTTTTTAGAAATCAAGGGAAGCCTAAATATCCAGGAGGGAAGGCAAACCTGCTGTAAGACAAATCATTACACAGGTATTGTCCCTTAAGACAGGGAGAAGTTTCTTTCTTTCTTTTTTTTTT